GTTGTCATCCATTTCAAGTTAACACCAGTTGCTCTTGAGCTGCTAAGGGCATGCTAGAAAAGAAATCTTAACAAGACCTAGTACATCCAAAAAGATCTCATCACGTTTATAAATTCTTTCTTCAAAAGTGCAATGTTAGAAGCTTGTCATGGTGGTGCATCCCTTTAATCCCAACCCTTGGGAGAGGCAGAGGCAGAGGCAGAGGCAAAGGCAGGTGGATCTCTGAGTTCGAGGTCAGCCTGGTCCAGTTCCAGGACAGTTAGGATTTGTCTTGACAAATCTAAACAAACAAACAAATAAATAAATAACAAGAAAAAAAAAACAAAGGTGCAATGTTATGTATAGTGGTATGGATGGTATGGTTGGGAGATACTATCCTGTGTAGTATAGCCATCTAGCATCCATACTGCTGTTGTCACAGGGCTGCTGTGTGTCTCTTTACCTGTGCTGTTGTTGTTGAGGCCAGCTTGCAGGCTTAGTGCAAAGGGATGCAGTCTTCACCTACTGCTGGAACTGACTCCCGGCTTCAGACAGGCTGCAGAATGGCACTGTAGCCCTGCATTTTCATCATCCTGGACAAGCTCCACCTTAGCACATTTTATATTGTGGCCTCAGCTTACTCCAGGTCAGGTTTAGTCTTTGTCATGCATATTATTTTGCCATTTCTATCGTCTGTGAACTACTACTGCTCAGGCTTTAAAGCCTTTTAGAAGCTCGCTGGCACTGCGTTTGGCTAGCACAAATCTTGCTACACTTGCTAGCCCCTGCTGATCTTTTGTCTGTTTGCCTTCCTTTCATCATCTCTTGATTGCTGTTGTGTTTTATGAACTCCATGCACATGTTGGCAGTGTTGTTCAGATCTGCCAAGAGCTTCTTGTACACCATGAAGGTCACAGATAACCATGGCCCTCAGCAAAGCCACCAAGGCTCCATAGCACTTCTGGTGTCCCCACTGAGTCAGTCTCTTTTTAAACTGTGGAAATGGGTCCTTCAGGCCCAGTAAGCTAGCTATCCAACACTGCCTCCCTCAAGCTCATTGTTTCAGTGACCCCTGTCCTTTTATCATCTTCCAGCCCCTCATATTTGTGAGGATCACATCTGGTGATGTTTTTTAGTCCTAATGCTTCCTATTAGCCAGTCCATCCCATCAGATGCTGGTTCCTCATGTGACAGTTCAGCTTCCCCAGCTTTTGCCTCAGTTTCTTCATTGCCGCAGCACTCACACTGATCCCATCTGCACCCGTGTTCCACAGCCTCCCAAGCCAGGTGGTGACAGCCCCTTTTATGTTTCGAAGTCTTTTCTAGTTCACAAAGCTGAGAGACATATACTTCCTGGTTGTCCAGGTCTTGCATGGGCCATTTTAAGGCCCACATGTACTAAGCTTCCCTTCTGAGGGCTATGGATTTTGTTGTTATTGTTTAGTTTTTTGTTTTAGAGACAAGGTTTCTCTGGATAGTCCTGGCTGTCCTGGAACTCACTCCTAGTCCAGGCTGGCCTTGAACTCAGAGATCCACCTGCCTCTGCCTCCTGAGTGCTGGGATTAAAGGCATGCTCCACCACCACCCAGCTCTTTGTGCTTTATTAAATCACTTTTACTTTGTTCTCTTCTTCCTCATTAGTTGATTTCTTTCATAGGCTCTAGTTTTTTTGGATCCCAGGAAGGGCTGTTTAACGTAGAGTGTTATATTCCTGTATCCAGAAGTGACAAGGCAACACCTCTATGTCATCCTCCCCTTTTCCACTTTTCCTTTCCAAATTGGGCTAATATGGAGGCAAGCAGTTACCACATGTTCTTTACCCATTCTAAGTCCCCCTCAAACCAGCAAGCTCTACCTGGGAAGACAGCCGAGCCTCAGTTACATGTCTTTTCACCCATACCAGGGGCCAGGCCACTAATACTACAACCAGTTCATGATCTCATCTCGTACATGTCAGTCTCAGAGACTAACACATATTTAATCCATCAACTCTTTGGAGGTAT